TTAATCTTTCGTAAAGACTGGAATTGCCGTGCGATTTGTGCTTTCAGAATACGAATCAATGCTGCGTATGACCACCGATCCCTTGCTAACCATTGGCTTGTTATGCGAGGAAGTGAGTAGCTGAGCAACTCAACTATCATTATAGTGGAGTTAAAGGCGGTAGGCGCGTGGTGACCCACATCCACTAGGGAACGAGACTAAATACACAAGTACACAAAGAGATTCGATGGTAGCAGTACGTATGCTAGACGCAGAATATGAAATTGATATTGTGAACGTCGACACCAGCAGGAAGAAATGGAACTCGACAAAGCTACGTGAATAGATGGGGTACAAGTGTTTGGTGGTTAGCCTTAATGCGGCCAGTCGGATGGATCCCAACTTGGCTTTAACATTCCCAAAAGTGTCTTATCAAACGGAATTTGAACTGCAAAAAAGCCGTCGGCAGAGCCCATGTATAGGCTAGAGGGAAGTTGGGGCAGCGTCGTCAGTGATTCACCATAATCCTCTTAACTATCAGGAACGTCTCAGCCGGTGCGTCAATGTGATGAATAATCCAAGCGTCTGGGTGCACGCGCGTGACTGTCTCCGGAAGTCATTTCAGGGTCCTCCAAGTAAAATGATACGTAAAATGGTACATATTCGGATAACAAAACTCATTGTGGGCAATAGGCAGTCGTCTTATCCTTTATTTGTTCACTCGAACCTACTTCGTTCAATGAGATCCAGCAGTGTGATATTCAGAGATAATTCTATTTGACTACGGACCTCCCAAGAAATTTCAAGCATCATAGCCGGGGATCACTTCTTTTAGAAAATAGGACTCACTTCTTATATGGTGCAAAATCTCATGAAGAATCAACACACTGTTTTTCATCTCTTCGTCGGTCAGAAGTTTAAGAGCTAAGTTGGTATAAAACTCCAGTATTTGTATTATATTCGTGGATAACGGTTTCTGAAGGCCCTATTTAAGCTATCATCAATCTAAGATACAAAAGCTGATCGGAGCCTAAAACTGTTCTCACATCAAGGCATTAATCAAGGTATGAGGTGTGAATAGGCGTCCTGTGCGTTCTTCATCTTTGACGATCAACTTCGTGAAAGTGAGATTCGTGGAGAGAAAGCAGGGTTTCGTCGAGGTCATGGCTGCATCGACCACATCATAACTTTGCGTCAGCTGTTGCAGCACCGTCACATATATTGGCGACACACTGTTGTTGTGTTGCTCGACATCAAAGGTGCATTCGATTCGGTTGATCGATGTGTCTCTTCGGACTACCTCCTCAGGAAAGGAGTGCCTGAAAAATATGTAAATATTATCCGAGAATTATAAGCGCGTGGCTAGGACAGCATGAGGGCTTACGGCAAGCTGTGGTCGTCGGGAACAATGAAGGCCCTCACTTCGAAGCTGGCCTCGTTTGGAGTGACTCGGCTCACTGGTTGGAGTCCGAAAGAGGATGAACACGTTTGGCTGAATACACTTGCTGACATGGCTAGGAGCCGACCTCAATGACGTTCGTGCTGTGAGTTTCATTGTCGCTCCTTATCCCTCTTAGCCTCCCTTCCAACCACGATCTCATTTTTAGCATAATATGATTTGGCATAATAAATTTCTTTTGAGCTGCGTAGTAGCCGGCTGGTAGCTTTCCGGAACGATGCCCATCCGTTACTGGTAATAGCTCAAACGATATACATGTGTTGCATGTTTTCTCTTTTTGCTTATGCACTCGGCGCAGTAGCGGAGGTATTTTTCGCCTTTAGCTAACGTGTATACTGATGGGGATGAGAATCATAACAGAAGACCTGGTCGCGTACATTTCAACTTTTTTGTGCAAAAATTTTCTGCGCATCGCTGCTTTACTTCTCTCATTTCCCCATCAAGCGAAGCGCAAACATCTGCCACTACGCATGTGATTCGCACTCTGAAAAGCCGCTAACTTGCCTGATAATCTTCAAACGTCACACCTGTAACTCCGTAACTCAATCTACTGCATGACCCAAGAAAAGCATTTTTCCAGACAACTTTGTAACGTACACCAGAGCAGAAGCACTGTAATATCACATCACAAAAGATAAAACGAATGCGCCGTTGCTAATTAGATTCCAGCAACGTTTGTGTTTAATAAATGTGAAGTGACAAGTACCCGAAAAACGCGAAAAAGATGTTCACAAGTTTCCTCAAAAAGAGAATGCTCGTACGCAAAAGTGGTAATGATCGGAGATTCAATGTGGTACAGTGGGGTACGCAATGGATATGAACTTGGGAAAACCCCGTACTGTGAGCGAAAAACACATCGCAAGTTAGATGAGTCGCTATAGGCAAGGTGCGTCAGTAAGGTCGGTGAGTTACACGAACACGCTTCAATTAAAAACACTATACGAAACGCAGGGCGCTCTCATTCATAGAAAACATACCGCTGAGTCACCATCACAAGGCGTCTTAGACTGCGAAAGCGCGTTGGGCTGGGGATTTTCGCATCGGCCCGCTAGATGAACTCTTGGAGGTGGCGGTGGTGGTGGTGGAGAAAGCTTAGGCAGTTGTAAATCGAGTGTAGTGGGGATCGGTTGAGCCAGATTCGTTGTTGTTCAAGAGCAGGGGTGCGAGCTCGCAGAGGGATGGGGTGTTGCAGCTAGAAAGGAACGAAACATAGTGGATGTTTAATGAGACGTGAAAGGTCGATGACGTACAATGCAGACGTAGGCAAGGCGAATACGCGCTTTCATTTTACTGAATACATTGTGTGGAATCCAACGGTGGCTGGTCACGATAACTCAATAGAAAGAAAAGTAATGGACATCTGTTGAATCCCGAGCCACAGAATAATGGTGTAAAAAAATACGCTGTTCGTGAAACGGATTGAGCTTGGATCGGTGGATAGCGACAAGGGTGTGAAGAAGACTAGAATTGAGGAAACTGCGTGACACCGCCGGTCACAATTCGTTTGCATGATTATCGGCTTGCCAAAAGTTATAGGTGTATGAAGACAGTTATCTCCGGATAAGAAAGTCGACTTCCTAGGGCACAACAGTGATGAGCAAAAACAGACAAGATGGACACTGACAGTCATTGACGAGACGTTCAAATTTGGAAGGTAAACGGACAAACAACATGGCCCGTAGATGGGGAATTGCATATAGACGTCAGTATATACAGAAGTCTTGCGGTTATAATCACGGAAAGTCACTGATATCGACATTTCGGCAGTGTTGTCTGCGTTAAGCATACCGGGACGAGCGGAATCACGTAATCGATCGTAGCGACCTTAGGAAGATTGCACTCATATGAGAGGTGAATGTCAATCTATTTGGGGTCAACAGTAAAGTTTCAAACTCAGGACCTGATACCGGTTTGAGTAGTGTTAATTGATAGTAGATCAGCATCTTCGATATTGTTGTTCGGTTATAATGTGTTTAGTAGCCTTAGCTTTATTCTGTTTATAACACTGTGTTGCAACATATTACAATTCTGGGGTCCGGCTGGTATATGGCGTGCTCATTACCGTGCGTTGGGGGCATCACTACAGTCTGCCCGAGCAGCAGAGCAGGTAACGCGCCGGAGTGCTTGGCAGCAACATTAGGTATCAATCATGTTTGGCATTCCATTCGCCTTTTCATCCATTCAAAACGTTCCACTAAACATCAAGAAGCAGCGAGTACAACGTGAGAGATGTGAATTTCTTAAAGGATTCGGAGGATTATGTTCGTAAAAGGTCGGTGTCAAAGAGACCGAGATATAGACTGGTCTTTGTGAGATCAGAGTACGCAACGGATGTCAATTGTAGCCTACAAGGCCAGCTTGACACAACAACTATTGTGGACAGAAGAAGCTCGGTGACCACAAACGGGAAGTAAACCACACATGTGTGGTGACACTACACTAATCGAGAATACAGGAAACCAAACGACAACAAAACAATCTCGGGCCGTAATGACTCTATGAAGGAAAAAGAAGGCTTCGGAACCGCAGACGTATGCGCGCGAAAAATGGACACATAAGCAATGAACGCCATACAAATACTAGACACAGAAGTAGCGCACGATATGCAACCTCCAACAGAAAGTGCGTAGATGAGTGGAAGTTTCGCTGATCAGAACCGATGCAACTAGTTTATGCTGTTTGTCACAATAAATAACTCCACTTGCACCTTGGGTTCTTACAGTCACTGTATACTGAAGACATCAAGAGAGTGTGATCAATCACTGGCGCGTGTAAAATACTGTCAGTATGAGGAGGACAGAAGTAGGCGTGTTCGTATTTGGCTATAAAACCTAATGCCGCATCAGGATGGCCGAAAAAACAGAACTGCATAAACTGGTCGAGACACGCGGGTAGAACATGCCCACTAACTGGCCACCTCGGTGTGTTTGGCGGAATCCGGAGGTAGCCAGCCGATTACATGTACGAAAGCGATGAGTCGGTTTTGAGAATGCTGTATGCTAGGAGTGGAATCATCGGCACAGGCTGCTTGGTGACTAGAAACCCTACAGGAAATGTCGCGGGTGCAAATGTGCTCCCGTACCTTCAGTGCTATTCATATCCTTCTCATATGAGGACGTAAATCCTTTTTTGATTGTCAAGTTTTGAAGTACCTACCGTGTGTGTAGGTTGCGACCTGATGAGTTCAAACGAGAAAAACAGTGACTGCGGAGCGCGCTGATTGTGGAAATTAGCACCGAAACGATCCACCTCAGTTTTTCTTTTATCTTTGAACTGACTCGTATCCCGGCATTTGATGCCTGGGGGTTGTTCCTGCACGTCACATCCCTGTCATTTGAACTGTACATGGGGCGAATTGTGATAGTTGTATTGCAGAAATGCATAAGGTAGCTACCTATCGTGTGAATGGTGCACTTTTCTGCTGAGAGATGAACCAATATGGAGGAATTGCATAAGCACAACCTCCCTGGTGCGACTCGGACTCTTGGCCAATCGAATCACCGGCTATCTGAGTGTAATGTCAAGATTGCAAGCACACTGTCTAAGATGGAGTGAGACGACATCAACAGGATACATAGGGATCATTCGAGTAGATTTTATACACCAACGTGTCCAAACTTGCCTTGGCACTTGGATTGGGACGTGCGTCAAAATGAATAATACCTTCGGCCAAAGATGAGATGTCACTCTGACTGGAGACGGACCATCGTCGCTGTCGACATGAAGCTGGGGTGAACGCCGTAGCAGTGGTCATTGAACCCTGCGGGAATTTGGTTCCAGAAGTGGGAGAAGCTTGACAGTACTCCCAATCGGCGGGAGCATCGGACTGAATTGAGTCAGCCGTTGCACTCAATGTAGGTGCTGGATCAGTCTCGCCTACGCATTTATCAGAGACGGCTAATGTGGAGAGTGTCTGACTGGTGATCACATCCAATAACACGGACGGAAGTGTGTGGGGGATGGGCATACCATTTCGGCGCAAAACAACAAGGTGCATTGCGACACAAAATTCCCCTAAGGTCAGTTGACCATCACAGTCGGCATCGGAAAGTTCCCTTCGGGAGGTAGAGAAAGGAAAGAGGATAGTGACTGAAGTGTCCAATGCGAGCGACCACGGCATGGAACACTGCATTAAGTGGGTGAGAGATATAACTCAGGGTCCGTGAATGCGAGAAAACAAAGTTTGATTGGATACAATTGCATACAAGACATTTTCTTCACAAGTGGTAAGAAGAATGCAACAGTTGGACAGGATAATCTAAATGCAACCATTTTGAGTTGACTAGCAAAAAGATATATGAGATCGTAGAAAGCGCTTTGTAAAGGAGGATAAAAGGTGTTTTGTATGGAACAATAAATACCGTTAATTTGTTGGAGGGTGGGAAGAGACCTTAGAGGTCAGTCACTCTAGCCACTGATTTCAAACCTTAGAATGAAAAGCGCACCATTTATATATCACAATGCAAGGAGTTCGCATACAGGGCAAATCAACAATGAATTTCAGAAAAGACGGACAAAGCCAGTTAAAGCATGGTTCTTACGATGCCAGAAATGGTTATTTAAGTCATGAGAAGTTCAGACGAACAGGAAATCATCATCTTAAACAACAATAAACCCAGAAAACATCGGTATCCGAAACAGCAATCAACGGCACATTGTTCCTCTGCTTCGCTGATACACAATCATAAGGGAACTGTTGCAACAAGACAGGATCTTAACGTGGTACCTTTCGGATTCATTGACCTATACTGGATTCTACCTTTGGGGACTACTCCAATTTGATTGGGTAATGGTCGGATGTCAGATTAGATCAAGCAAATCTCTTGACCATCTAGACTGGTGATCAGAACAGGAATAGCGCCGATTCCCTTAAAATTGGTTTATGTTGTGGAAGACTGCCATAGCTTGTTGGATATCCGTCAGCGTGTTAAGGCAAAGGTTTAGGTGACGGCCCCTGCAGTACCCTAGCCTATGCATAATTATAACATTTACGACAAACTCCCTATCTTTCCTGCAACGATCGTCGCGTTGTTTCGAAAGGACTGTTTTGCTTGATGTATACTGCAGAACGAACAAGCAAAAAGCATGCTAATGCCGACATCTATGTTCTCCTTCTCACTCCTCTGCAACCTTCTTGATCCCCACTGATTTATCGCGACGACACTGATCTTAACGTGATGCGGTAGTTTACATACCTCTGCGACCACCCAATAAGCGACGCTGGATGGCACTTTCCATATGGTTTCAGAGTCATTCGTAACAACCAGGTCAATAGTCCTCGTCCTTAAAAACTTAGACATAAGAGGCACCAGATGAGACGGGTTATAGGATCACAGCTCGAGTTGCATAGAAAATGAGTGTCATCGGGCACCGCATGGTGCTCAATCGCTTGATTTCGCGCGCCTCAAACCTGACAACCCACCGTAAAAGGAATGCCCGGCAACTCCTTACGGCACCTCGAACAAAACCCCTCTATCGGTAGATGTAATTGCAGAGTATCATCCGTCGGAAGTGCACTGTTTATAGATCCCATTGCAAAGCGTTCGTGTAGGGTTACTCAACAATGAATTTCGCCAAAGACGCGCAAAGCCAGTTAAACCATTCTTTTCATGATGCCAGAAATAGTTCCCTAGGTCATGAGGAATCTAGACGCAAAGGAGATCATCATCCTAAACAACAGTAGGTTAGGCCACATGCGCACCATCGGTATTCTAAACAGCAGGCAACGGTGGTGGGGACCGCTGCAATCGTTGTCTGCTGCCTGAGAGAAACTCGATTCCAAGATTCCAACAGTCTACCAGTCCAACCACACACCCGCTTGTATCACCGCCATTCTGGTGACGCTGAGTCTACCGCATCTGATCAAGCTGGTGGTGGAATCGCCCTCAGTGCCAGAGCCGAGGTCGACCTACTTGACTGGATTCCAATCAACGGTCATCTATGCGCTATGAGGTTCCGTGGCTCTTTTAAGGTTAGCAGACGTCGAGCTGACAAACGTGCTGTTTTTGTGATCTTCGCCTACTGACTACTGCACCAGTGCTACAGTCAGTAGGCGAAGATCACAAAAACAGCACGTTTGTCAGCTCGACGTCTGCTAACCTTAAAAGAGCCACGGAACCTCATAGCGCATAGACGACCGTTGATTGGAGTCCAGTCAAGTAGGTCGACCTCGGCTCTGGCACTGAGGGCGATTCGAACACCAGCTTACTCGGATGCGGTGGACTCAGCGTCACCAGAATGGCGATGATACAAGAGGGTGTGTGGTTGGACTGGTAGACTGTTGGAATCCTGGAATCGAGTTTCTCTCAGGCAACATACAACGATTGCAGCGGTCCCCACCGTTGCCTGCTTTTTAGAATACCGATGGTGCCCATGTGGCCTGAACCTAATGTTGTTTAGGATGATCTCTTTTGCGTCTAGGTTTCTTATAACCTAGAGAACTATTTCTGGCATCATGAGAAGAATGGTTTAACTAGCTTTGCGCGTCTTTGGTGAAATTCGTTGTTGAGTAACCCTACACGAACACTTTGCATTGGGATCTATAAACAGTGCACTTCCGACGAATGATACTCTGCAGTTACATCTACCGATAGAGGGGTTTTGTTCAAGGTGCCGTAAGGAGTTGCCGGGCATTCCTTTTACGGTGGGTTGTCAGGTTTGAGGCGCGCGAAATCAAGCGATTGAGCACCATGCGGTGCCCGATGACACTCATTTTCTATGCAACTCGAGCTGTGATCCTATAACCCGTCTCATCTGGTGCCTCTTATGTCTAAGTTTTTAAGGACGAGGATCATTGACCTGGTTGTTACGAATGACTCTGAAACCATATGGAAAGTGCCATCCAGCGTCACTTATTGGGTGGTCGCAGAGGTATGTAAACTACCGCACCACGTTAAGATCAGTGTCGTCGCGATAAATCAGTGGGGATCAAGAAGGTTGCAGAGGAGTGAGAAGGAGAACATAGATGTCGGCATTAGCATGCTTTTTGCTTGTTCGTTCTTCTGTATACAGCAAGCAAAACAATTCTTTCGAAACAACTCGACGGCCATTGCAGGAATGGTAGGGAGTTTGTCGTAAATGTTATAATTATGCATAGGCTAGGGTACTGCGGGGGCCGTCACCTAACTTTTTGTCTTAACACGCTGACGGATATCCAACAAGCTATGGCAGTCTTCCATAACATAAACCAATTTTAAGGGAATCGGCGCTATTCCTGTTCTGATCACCAGCCTGGATGGTCAAGAGATTTGCTTGATCTAATCTGACATCCGACCATTGCCCAATCAAATTGGAGTAGTCCCCAAAGGTAGAACCCAGTATACGTCATTGAATCAGAAAGGTACCAGGTTAAGATCCTGTCTCGTTGCAACAGTTCCCATATGATTGTGTATCAGCGAAGCAGAGAAACAAAGTACCGTTGATTGCTGTTTCGTATACCGATGTCTTCTGGGTTTATTGTTGTTTAAGATGATGATTTCCTCTTCGTCTGAACTTCTCATGACTTACATAACCATTTCTGGCATCGTAAGAACCATGCTTTAACTGGCTTTGTCCGTCTTTTCTGAAATTCATTGTTGAGTTGCCCTGTATGCGAACTCCTTGCATTGTGATATATAAATGGTGCGCTTTCCATTCTAAGGTTTGAAATCAGTGGCTAGAGTGACTGACCTCTAAGGTCTCTTCCCACCCTCCAACACATTAACGGTATTTATTGTTCCATACAAAACACCTTTTATCCTCCTTTACACAGCGCTTTCTACGAACTCATATATCTTTACGCCAGTCAACTCAAAATGGTTGAATTCAGATTATCCTGTCGAACTGTTGCATTCTTCTTACCATTTGTGGAGGGAATGTCTTGCATGCAATTGTATCCAATCAAACTTTGTTTTCTCGCATTCACGGACCCTGAGTTATATTTCTCACTCACTTAAAGCAGTGTTCCATGCCGAGGTCACTCGCATTGGACACTTCAGTCACTATCCTCTTTCCTTTCTCTACCTCCCGAAGGGAACTTTCCGATGCCGACTGTGATGGTCAACTGACCTTAGGGGAATTTTGTGTCGCAATGCACCTTGTTGTTTTACGCCGAAATGGTATGCCCATCCCCCGCACACTTCCGTCCGTGTTATTGGATGTGATCACCAGTCAGACGCTCTCCACATTAGCCGTCTCTGATAAATGCGTAGGCGAGACTGATCCAGCACCTACATTGAGTGCAACGGCTGACTCAATTCAGTCCGATGCTCCCGCCGATTGGGAGTACTGTCAGGCTTCTCCCACTTCTGGAACCAAATTCCCGCAGGGTTCAATGACCACTGCTACGGCGTTCACCCCAGCTTCATGTCGACAGCGACGATGGTCCGTCTCCAGTCAGAGTGACATCTCATCTTTGGCCGAAGGTATTATTCATTTTGACGCACGTCCCAATCCAAGTGCCAAGGCAAGTTTGCACTCGACCATCGTTGGTGTATAAAATCTACTCGAATGATCTCTATGTATCCTGTTGATGTCGTCTCACTCCATCTTAGACAGTGTGCTTGCAATCTTGACATTACACTCAGATAGCCGGTGATTCGATTGGCCAAGAGTCCGAGTCGCACCAGGGAGGTTGTGCTTATGCAATTCCTCCATATTGGTTCATCTCTCAGCAGATAATTGCACCATTCACACGATAGCTAGCTACCGTATACATTTCTGCAATACAACTATCACAATTCGCCCCATGTACAGTTCAAATGACGGGGACATGACGAGCAGCAACAACCCCCAGTCACCAAGTGCCGGGATTCGAGTCAGTTCAAGGATAAACGAAAAACTGAGGTGGAGCGTTTCGGTGCTAATTTCCTCAATCAGCACGCTCCGCAGTCACTTTTTTTCTCGTTTGAACTCATCAGGTCGCAACCTACACACACGGTAGGTAGTTCAAAACTTGACAATCAAAAAAAGATTTACGTCCTCATATGAGAGGGATATGAATAGCACTGAAGGTACGGGAGCACATTTACACCTGCGACATTTCCTGTAGGGTTTCTAGTCACCAAGCAGCCTGTCCCGATGGTTGCACTCTTAGCATACAGCATTCTCAAACACGACTCATCGCTTTCGTACATGTAATCGGCTGGCTACCTCAGGATTCCGCCAACCACACCGATGTGGCCAGTTAGCGGCCATGTTCTACCCGCGTGTCTCGACCAGTTTAGGTAGTTCTGTTTTTTCGGCCCTCCTGATGCGGCATTAGAAGTTTTATAGTCAAATACGAATATGCCTACTTCTGCCCTCCTCATACTCACAGTATTTTACACGCACCAGTGATTGATCACAGTCTCTTGTTGTCTTCAGTGCACAGTGACTGTAAGAACCCAAGGTGCAAGTGGAGTTATTTATTGTGACAAACAGCATAAACTAGTTGCATCGGTTCTGATCAGCGAAACTTCCACTCATCTACGCACTTTCTGTTGGAGGTTGCATATCGTGCGCTACTTCTGTGTCTAGTATTTGTATGGCGTTCATTGCTTATGTGTCCATTTTTCGCGCGCATACCTCTGCGGTTCCGAAGCCTTCTTTTTCCTTCATAGAGTCATTACGGCCCGAGATTGCCTTGCTGTCGTTTGGTTTCCTATATTCTCGATTAGTGTAGTGTCACCACACATGTGTGGTTTACTTCCCGTTTGTGGTCACCAAGCTTCTGTCCACAATAGTTGTTGTACCAAGCTGACCTTGTAGGCTACGATTGACATCCGTTGTGTACTCTGATCTCACAAAGACCAGTCTATATCCCGGCCTCCTTGACATCGACCTTTTACTAACATAATCCTCCGAATCCTTTAAGAAATTCACATCTCTCACGTTGTACTCGCAGCTTCTTGATGTTTAGTGGAAAGTTTTGAATGGATGAAATGGCGAACGGAATGCCAAACATGATTGATACCTAATGTTGCTGCCAAGCACTCCGGCGCGTTACCTGCTCTGCTGCTCTGGCAGACTGTAGTGATGTCCCCAACCGGTTCCACCCCGCACGGTAATGAGCACGCCATATTCCGGCCGGACCCCAGAATTGTAATATGTTGCAACACAGTGTTATAAACAGGATGAGGCTAAGCTACTAAACACATAATAACCAACAACAATATCGGGGATGCTGATTACTATCAATTAACACTACTCAAACCGGTTCAGTTCTGAGTTGAACTTTACTGTTGAACCCCACATAGATTGACATTTACCCTCTCATTGAGTGCAATATCCTGAGGGTCGATCGATTCGTGATTCGCTCGCCCCGTATCCTTAACGCAGACAACACTTCCGAAGTGTCGATATCAGTGACTGCGTGATTTAGAACGCAAGACTTCTGTATTTACGGCATCTATATGCAATTCTCCATCTGACGTGTTTTTGTCCGTTTACCTTCCAAATTTGAACGTCTCGTCATGACGTCAGTGTCCATCTTGTTTTTGCTCAGCTCTTTTATTCTCTAGGAAGTCGACTTTCTTATCAGGAGATAACTGCTTTCATGCACCTATGGCTTTTGGCAAGCCGGTAATCATGCAAACGAATTTTGACCGACGATGTCACGCAGTTTCCTCAATTCTAGCACCCTTGTCGCTATCCACCGATCCAAGCTCAATCCGTTTCACGAACAGCGTATTTTTACCCACTTATTCTGTGGCTCGGGATTCAACAGATGTCCATTACTTTTCTTTCTATTGAGTTATCGTGACCCAGCCACCGTTGGATTCCACACGATGTATTCAGTAAAATGAAAGCGCGTATTCGCCTTGCCTACGTCTGCATTGTACGTCATCGACCTTTCACGTCTCATTAAACATCCACTATTGTTCGTTCCTTTCTAGCTGCAGCACCCCATCCCTCTGCGAGCTCGCACGCTGCCTTTGAACAACAACGAATCTGGCTCAACCGATCCCCACTACACTCGATTACAACTGCCTAAGCTTTCTCCACCGCCACCACCGCCACCTCCAAGAGTTCATCTAGCGGGCCGATGCGAAAATCCCCAGCCCAACGCGCTTTCGCAGTCTAAGACGCCTTGTGATGGTGACTCAGCGGTATGTTTTCTATGAATGAGAACGCTCTGCGTTTCGTATAGTGTTTTTAATTGAAGCGTGTTCGTGGAACTCACCGACCTTACTGACGCACCTTGCTATAACGACTCGTCTAACTTGCGATGTGTTTCCGCTCCTCAGTACGGGGTTTTCCCAAGTTCTATCCATTGCGTACCCCACTGTACCACATTGAATCTCGATCAATACCGCTTTGCGTACGAGCATTCTCTTTTTGAGGAACTTGTGAACATATTTTTCGCGTTTTTCGGGTACTTGTCACTTCACCTTTATTGAAGACAAACGTTGCTGGAATCTAATTAGCAACGGCGCATTCGTTTTATCTTTTGTGATGTGATATTACATTGCTTCTGCTCTGGTGTACGTTACAAAGTTGGTCTGGAAAATTGCTTTTCTTGGGTCATGCAGTAGATGGAGTTTACAGGTGTGACGTTTGAAGGTTATCAGGCAAGTTAGCGGCTTTTCAGAGTGCGAATCACATGCGTAGTGGACAGATGTTTGCGCTTCGCTTGATGGGGAAAATGAAGAGAAGGTAAAGCAGCGATGCGCAGAAAATTTTTGCACAAAAAAGTTGACGAAACGTACGCGACCAGGTCTTCTGTTATGATTCTCATCCCCATCATTATACACGTTAGCTAAAGGCGAAAAATACCTCCGCTACTGCGCCGATTGCATAAGCAAAAAGAGAAAACATGCAACACATGTATATCGTTTGAGCTACTACCAGTAACGGATGGACATCGTTCCGGATAGCTACCAGCCGGCTACTACGCAGCAAAAAAAAATTATTATGCAAAGTCATATTATGCTAAAAAAAAATGAGATCGTGGTTGGAAGGGAGGCTAAGAGGGATAAGGAGCGACGATGAAACTCACAGCACGAACGTCATTGAGGTCGGCTCCTAGCCATGTCAGCAAGTGTATTCAGCCAAACGTGTTCATCGTCTTTCGGACTCCAACCAGTGAGCCGAGTCACTCCAAACGAGGCCAGCTTCGAAGTGAGGGCCTTCATTGTTCCCGACGACCACAGCTTGCCGTAAGCCCTCACGCTGTCCGAGCCACGCGCTTATAATTCTCGGATAATATTTACATATTTTTCAGACGCTCCTTTCCTGAGGAGGCAGTCCGAAGGGACACGTCGATCAACCGAATCGAATGCACCTTTGATGTCGAGCAACACAACAACAGTGGGTCGCCAATATACGTGACGGTGCTGCAACAGCTGACGCAAAGTTATGATGTGGTCGATGCAGCCATGACCTCGACGAAACCCTGCTTGCTCTCCACGAATCTCACTTTCACGAAGTTGATCGTCAAAGATGAAGAATGCACAGGACGCCTATTCACACCTCATACCTTGATTAATGCGTTGATGTGAGAACAGTTTAAGGCCCCGATCATCTTTTGTATCTTAGCTTGATGATAGCTTAAATAGGACCCTCAGAAACCATTATCCACGAATATAATACAAATACTGGAGTTTCGTACCAACTTAGCTTTTAAACTTCTGACCGACGAAGTGATGAAAAACGGTGTGTTGATTCTTCATGAGATTTTGCACCATATAAGAAGTGAGTCCTTTTTTCTAAGAGAAGTGATCCCCGGCTATGATGCTTGAAATTTCTTGGGAGGTCCGTAGTCAAATAGAATTATCTCTGAATATCACACTGCTGGATCTCATTGAACGAAGTACGTTCGAGTGAACAAATAAAGGATAAGACGACTGCCTATTGCCCACAACGAGTTTTGTTATCCGAATATGTACCATTTTACGTATCATTTTACTTGGAGGACCCTGAAATGACTTCCGGAGACAGTCACGCGCGTGCACCCAGACGCTTTGATTATTCATCACATTGATGCACCGGCTGAGATGTTCCTGATAGTTAAGAGGATTTTGATGAATCACTGTTTGACGACGCTGCCCCAACTCCCCTCTAGCCTATACATGGACTCTGCCGACGGTTTTTTTTTTGCAGTTCAAACTCCGTTTGATAAGACACTTTTGGGAATGTTAAAGCCAAGTTGGGATTCATTCGACTGGCCGCATTAAGGCTAACCACCAAACACTTGTACCCCATCTATTCACGTAGCTATGTCGAGTTCCATTACTTCCTGCTGGTGTCGACGTCCACAATATCAATTTCATATTTTGCGTCTAGCATACGTACTGCTACCATTGAATCTCTTTGTGTACTTGTGTATTTAGTCTCGTTCCCTAGTGGATGTGGGTCACCACGCGCCTACCGCCTTTAACTCCACTATAATGATAGTTGAGTTGCTCAGCTACTCACTTCCTCGCATAACAAGCCAATGGTTAGCAAGGGATCGGTGGTCATACGCAGCATTGCTTCGTATTCTGAAAGCACAAATCGCACGGCAACTCCAGTCTTTACGAAAGATTAACTGTGCCGCATTGCGTTTTTCAAGCAGGAATATGAATCGTTTGCATAATCTTGAGCAATCCGTTTGCCAACAGACAGCACTTCAATGCCCACATCGTGAGATTTCATTAGGGAGCACTCCACGATCGAATTACTGCTAAAATTGTACGAACTTGGGGAACTTAGACAACTTTTTCGGACACTATCTGTGGTTTGATAGGCGTCCGACAATTCACTGTAGACCGCCGCACAGATTGTGTTCGAGTACAGGGCACACTAAAGTTTGATGTATTTTGACTGATGCTCTGTTTCCTTTCTTTGGCTCTGAATTAATGATACCGTTGATCGTTGCATCAAATAGAAGCTTCTCGGTATCCTGCATGATTGGGAGCTGAGGAAGCAATGCGAACCGCAATGATTTACAGTTGTGGAGCTTCGAGATGCTGCCTATGTTGTAGTAAATTGATGTTCAGCCAGAGTCTTGTAAATCAAAGGTCACCGGTTCGGATTTATCTAAGTGCGGGCGACGTCCTGATGTTGCTAGCCCGAGCATGACCGGTGGTGGTTACGTGATAACTTTGTATGTTGCTGCGGCTCTCTGGCGTGCTTCTGTGATTGGTTTCTTGTTTCAATTTTTCTCCGTCGCCAGCATCTATTACGTTTCCTTTGACAGCAGGAAGAAGACCGATATAGCTATCTCGAATTCAGACCCACTCACTCCCTGAGTCTGGATATAGCTACCTTGACAAAAAAAAGCTCCCCAACACATCGTTGTTAGCAGCGAAATGATTCGGGTCATGTAGTTAAACATAATTGACTCGTAGGAAGTTTCCTTAATATCAAAGACCGGTAAAACGGTCTTCAACTGGCTCCAACCCAAAGCGTTTTCATTGGCTGACTCCAAAGCAAAAGCCGTCTCATTGGTTGGCTCCAGTTCAATGGTCTTTAAAGCTGGGTTGATCCGACCTTTGAAGCTGTCGGCATGAAATAAGCTTGAAAGGCTTATGTGAACGTTCTCTCTTAATGATTAGGATAACACCTGTCAAATGCATTCATCACGCCTCTTTGCCCGAGTCCATGTTTGCTATCCGAACTTGGGGAATCCTCCGTTCATCGCGTACAGTCATCAATAATGAGCAGAACCATGTTTGCCTGACCTTTAGCTTTCGACCTATCAAGTCCAGCGATGATAATGTCAGCGCAAGGAGCCACATATTCACGGGAATTGTCGCCCATTCCCAATGCAAAAGTGACTCCCCGCACTTGTGAACGGACAACAAAACTTTTTTATGCTCAACTAATGAGTCGAATGGATTATGACTAGCTGAAAGTTCGGAACCATCAAACGAACAGAGAGCCTATGAGTAGATCACTAGTCAGATGTCTCCAGTGTTGACCACTAATGCATAGAACTAATCACGATTTCATGATATTGATGTTAAAGGATTACCCAAACTTGCACTGACGATGCACAACCACCTTGAAAGTGTCCGGAAATGTAATCACTGTAACAACAAGGGGTGGAACCTTATCCAACAACTGGGAATTGTCTCGTGAAGTACTGACGAACGAAACGTGGCTCCAACTGCAAGCCATTTTGACTACGAAGCATCGTGTCTTGATTTACGTTATGCATAGAAAGTTCATATGTAAAGTTAATACAGATTTTGATCGAAAACTACCTGTCCTACGTTTCATGGACTGCCCAGCACTGATGAGTGGACGTGTCGATATCAGCGAAACAAAACCAAATATGTGTCACGCAGACCGGTTCAATAAATAAACCCAGGTCTACAGTTCGAACTTGGTGTCTGTTTCTGTCACAACCGGTCATCTGAAAATCAAGGAGTCCTCATCCAACTATTGTGAGCTACAGTGCTATAGCTCGTTCACATTAATCATTCTGTCCCTCTTATGTGTGTCATTCGGCCTTGGCGTTCCGTCCGCACAATCATTGTTCATCACCTTGGCACGAAATTCCCACTGCAACATATGCCTCGTCTTTAAGAACCCCCCCCCCATTCATTCTAATGAGTAGTGAAGATTCGGTTGTAGTTTATTGTGGTCACCTCTCAGTCAGGCAAGCTCTTATACGTCTGGAAAAGCACCAGCCTGCCGTTTCGACCTTCTGAGTCACGTTAGCAGTGCACGATCGTTGGACAGCTGATGCCAGCTGCTTGTTCCACTAAGTTAAGGGTAATGGCAGCAGACCTGCGTGACTAATAGTTAACTCCCTGGTTGGTGTCCGAGAAATGCGGATACTTGCTGGTTGAAGATCTTGGAAGCCATGGCTCAAGATCGATCTCAATGGCGGACGTGTGCATGGGTGTGTTGCGGTGTCCCTTCTTCCTCCCCCTAAAAAAGCACAAACTGGAAAAAATTTTCAAAAGCTGTGAGTGGTAAAATAGCCAAAAAAGGTTTTTGTTTGTTGCTCTTTTCTTATTGTTCATACTGTTTTCCTATTCAGCCATGACTCCGATAGCGCAATATCTGTACCACAGCTTGTGTATGATATATATATATATATATATATATATATATATATATATATATATATATATATATATATATATATATATATATATATATATATATATATATATATAGTTAACTGCGTTGTAGCGCGGTTCATTCTCCACTGTCATACTAATTTCTCATTCTATCTCGTGTGTGCCACATATTCTTGGACAGCTTCATTCATATTCTGCGAAGTTTCTGCTTGTCCGTGTCGACGGCAGAGCGCGAAATTGTCCTATCCAGTTGCGTAGGCTACTACTTAATTCAGGACATCAAAATGTATGGATTTAACCACATGCTATCATTGCCATTTAATCTTTTCACATGCTTTAAATTTCAGTCCCCTCTTCTGGCGTCTCGTACAGACACGGTTGATTTATCCTTTCCGAATAATCAGTAAGTGAACCATCACTTCCACCCTTTAATAATCTTGGATGAAGATCACTATCTTTACCGTTAACTTGTTTGGGGTCTCGGAGACTATTTCACGTAACCTGATCACAAATGACTCCAGACCACTAGTTGACATACACCCGATCGTTCTTTGTGTCAGAATCAACGCGAATCTTTCCGAATAATTCACAGATAAGGCAACACCAGCCTGCTTCTGTTTGCCGAAGCTTCGTCTATTCGGCAGCTGAACCCCAGTTTGCACAACCAGACTGGTTGGTTTTGTGATCAGTCTGATGGGGTTGGTGATTGTTTCCAAGTTGTATAGTGGCGAAAATCTTTCCGTACTGTTGAACGGACAGTTTCTGTTTGTACGATCTACTTTGGACTGCCCATAAAAGATGCCAGATTACCACGATATCGCTGACCTACACCAGGTCACACCACAGACGTACAGTTTCTCAGAATACTCTAGGTCAGTGGTTCTCAACCGTTTTGAGGCTGTTACCCACAAATCGGATTCGCTATAAACAATCCCCACTCAGAAGATTTTAGTTTAAAAAACAAGCTACTTATTAGCTATTGCATTTTTTGCTTTAAATTACAAAAAATACATACTATCTTTTATTTTCGATCGTTCAACTTATGGGCACACCAGTTTTTAAGCCATCTTTCATTAAATCAACAGGTGATATGCCCTAAGGAAACGGTTGATATTGCTTAGTTCTAACAATTAGTAGTTTATTCGGGTGCGGTTGTGGCTAATGCACATCGTAAGCCTTGCTCCAAGTTGATTCGTTTCTTATTTTGTATGTGATCCCTGATCAAATGTGAACATAGGTCAGTGGCTTCTCATTTGTTTCAAACATCCCTTCCAAATCCATCCTGGATGACAGCTTTCCACTGCCAACCTGGATCGAAACGTCCTGAACACTAATCGCCTGTTTTGTCCCTTCTGCCTTGTAAACATTCGACCGTTTCTTTACCCGGTCGGCTGAACTATGCTGCCATCTTAGTGTTCACTCCACTCTGGAATTCGACCCGACGAAGGCCTGACTCAAACGAACAATGATCGATGAACAAGCCGATAGAGACCCCATCTAACTGGTCTGCTTTGCAAGCTTGCATTCAGGTTTCAGTTAATGAAATTTATTACCGAACATTTTCTAATTCTCTGACCACTCACTAATGTTCAGTCACCAATGGCTAATCAATAGTGTTTAGGTAGTTAATTACATGTTTTGGCATAGATGACTTTACTAATTTTTTGACGACAGATTGGTGACTCAATCTTCATGCTTATATTTACTTTTCGCAAAATCCATTTTTACTCCTTTGGGGGCAATTACCCCCAGGTTGCGAACCATTTCTGTAGGTGTTATCCATAGGTATACTCAGTGGGGAAACAGGTTAGTCAACCCTGTCCCAAGTCATTGACGATAACATATACCCGCATACCATCCGGGACGTTAACGTAATTGGGGATCCTACTTAGTGGACTTCATACTGCGCAGCTTCGTTGATTGGGTCATTTACGGTTCCCGTGCTTAGACGGATAGCAGTAGTTGAATGACCGTACGTATTTTCGGTGCTCCTATTTCATTAACGAATTCAAGACAATAAATTGGTGCTGGGTCTTATGAGAGTTTACCCAAGATTCTTAATCTAGTACTAATTTCTGGTATTGTTTTCTGTTAACGAAGCAAGAATACTTGCTTAGTTGAAGATCAACATTATCCGTGAATCGTTCAAGCTTATGATGCTCCAATATTTGGTGCCTTAAACCTGAACAGAATGTGACTCATTTTCCACGTGTGCACCGGTCCCGTACTCGGCTGAGTCCCCGTACTAACAAAAACATCTCCCAGGGTCGCTGAAATCGCCACTGTATCTGAAAACCGCTGCTTCTCAGGCGGCTCACACACTTTTCTTGCGTTCGTATGACTAGCGCAAACAGCAGTCGATAGACACCAAAGCTATTCATTCGCTTGTTTCAGGAATGAGCCGTCGGTGAGCGTATAGCTGGTCGTCTTGACTTTACCTCTACGGCACACAAGCTCCCCCGGCGTCACATGCTCAACTCAACATCCTTCGCACCATGAAAAGTTGTTGCTCCTTATCAACCGTTTCTTCCTCTTAAAACTAGTTGCCACCGCAATAAAATGTCTACAATCTCTAGGCGCAATTCTGACGTACAGCTCAGCTGCATCGGGACGCTTTCACAGAACAGTCTGCCACTCCACTTCCAGTTTCCAATTAAGAAAAAAATTACACTGAATTTATCTGTTCTCTAGTCAATAGTGAGTTTGATATTAGTGGATCGAAAGGTACCCGAAAACGCACCACTCATTGCGATTCAGTGAGTCAAAGAGCATTGTGGACAGTCGTAAAATGTTAACGCCAAATCTCGTGCGTAGAAATTCACGCTCAACACAACTGTTTGATTTCTTTTGCTTCTTTGTCAATATCTCATCACTTTCATTGTTTGCCATGTCTTTTCTTTGTTCCCGTGCAGAACTAATGAAGTCCCTAACTCTTCAGTCGCTGACTCTCAGCTGCGTCCAAATGAGATCATCGCGCAATTGCAGAATGAGTGCGACGGTTTGCTTCAAGAGAATGAGCAGCTGGCAGTGGAATTAGTCCAACTGCAACAGCACCGGATCGCTTTGAAAATTTTGCTCGAGCGACTGATGCCTTTGGATCCCGGCTACTCAGGATCTCGAGAGTATTGAGTTTGTCACTCTCTGTTGCGCCACACACACACTCTCGAGGGAAGAAATCGTGTTGCCCCCTCTGTTTTACATCCGTGCTTGTGTGCTGTTGTGTACATCACTTGCGGATCTATTGTCGGATGTCGAATTCGCACAGTCGATTATCATTGTACGCTAACACTCATGTATCTTTGTATCTACCACATTTTTCATACTTGCCTTCTGGGTATTTACTTTTTCGGTCTGCGTTATTGACACTGCAATGAAATTTCACATTCGAACTTCATGCCTTATTATTTCCTTCGCAATTAGCTTGGCTTCATTGAGGATTGATAACCCATTTTAGCCTAAACAATATGTTTGTGTTTTAGTGAGTGGTAGGGGATTTATCCGGTTTTTTGTGAGGATTCGTCACAACCTGACTAAGGTAAATAGCTACCACATATTCAGGGAAGCGCTTTTCTGAATGCGTCGTCCGGTGACCATGGAGTTTACATTCTTGATTTGCAGTCATAAGGCCACCGGTTCGAATCCGCATAGGGGCAGGTGTCCTCGCGGTAAATGCAGCCTACGCGCGACTGGTGGTGGTCGCGCGACAGCGAAGCACCATTACGGCGTATAGCTGGCGATTTAATTTTCCTGAATGCATGGTGGCTGTCTGTCTGAGTCTAGCCTCGAGAAATGATTGTGTTTTCCTGACATCATGTAGGTGCTTCGATTCTGTACGCTTGCTTAAAACCCCCATCCACCTTATTTTCGTTCCTCATGAATATCATCATTGCATAGCAGCAAAGCATCAGTGCGGTGGTTGGCTGTTCGTTACATGAATGCTCAAGGGGGCCGTCCTTTCGGACTCTGAATAAACTCTTCGAAACCGCTTCGGGGCCGTTGCACGCTAAACAATGGCGATCGACCCTTATTGGAGTCGTCTCAAGGGTGCCAGGAATTACGTACGCCTTTGACGCCTGCTGTTCACGCAACTTGAGATGTCCGAAATATGTGTAGATGTTTGGAGCATTAGTCAGTTTCATCCAAGCATACCTACAGGTTCCGTTGGGTACTGGGTTACACCGTGTCCGCAAAGCTCTGAAACGACGACTGGTAAGGTGTCTTTTATTTGATCGGGGACGTTGGTGAATGGCAAGGTCCCGTAAGACAGAGTGTCATATATCGCTCCTAGTGGTACGTATATCGACCCTTGTATATATTTATATATTCACAGTCTGCTAACAGACATTGTGCCATCAGAACCATGGCAGAAGAAAAAAAAGTGAAGAAGATAGAAACACAAACTGCGACAAACAAGGAAAACGATTTCTCTTGCTTTTACACACGCCATTCTGAATTTTGTTTTGTTTCGTATTTTTTGTGTATATTAAAGGGGGGATATAATGGCAGAACAACATTGACGCCACTGATGTTTTTTGCGGGCCCTGACGTCCAATGTTTCCAACCGCTGAAATTCAGCATCTCGTGGTCTCCAACCTGGAAGACGGACTGGTTGGACTGCCGCCAAACTTGAAGTTGCCTTCTTCATGCTCATTCTCCACGTCATTGGCTGTCCACCGCGGCACTTTTTCAAATCGCTCCCTTGGAGTGCAAATAGCGCTTGACGTGGAAGGCCATGGGCTGGCATGCGCAAAACGTGCCCGCGCCAACACATGCGATGTCGGAGAATAACGTCCTGAAGACTAGCACTACTCGCTCCAAGCACGTGGTCTCGCACCTCTGCGTTGCTTACGTGGTGTTGCCATCACACCCGAGCAATCGTTCGTAGACAGCGCTTGTCGAAGACTGACAACCGCTTCATGTCTTCCGAGCGAATAGGCCAAGTCTCCCAGCCGTACAAGAGTACTGCACGGACAGAAGCATTATACACCGTGCCCTCGCGCTTGAGACTGACATTACGACGATGCCATAGGTGTTTCAGTTTGATGAATGCAAGGCGGTCCTTTGCAATCCTTTGTGAGGCTTCAGCTCCAACACCGCCACCGGCCGTGTTGCAACTCCCTAGATAAGTAAAGCAAGGGACTTGCTCCAGAACATGTCCATCAATGATGAGCGCGGGTTCAGGCACCTGCCAATCCTGGATCAGCATTTTACATTTTCCCGGAGTGAAGCATAAGCCGTACTTAGATGCCTCCATCGCCATGCGGTCCAAAGTGCTCTGGACGGTTTTTGGTCGTCCCCCAGCAAGGCGATATCATCGGCGTAGTCCAAGTCCGTGACTCTGTCTCCAGGGGTGAGCTCAACACCGCAGTTCTGGACACCTTCCAGTGCTCTTTGGACAACATCTTCGATGGCGAAATTGAAGAGGAAAGGTGAAATAGGGCAACGTTGGCGAACACCGCTGGTCACATCAAACGAAGAAGAGAGCCTGCCGTGAGCCCTGACTTTTCCCGACGTGTGACTATAAAGTTCACTCAGGATGGTTACAAACTTGTCGTGCACACCTTTCTTCAGTAAACAGTCCCACAACGCAAATCTATCTACTGAATCAAATGCCGCTCGGATGTCCAAAAACACTACGATTGTTGGCCGCCGGTGGATTTGACGGAGTTCGAGAACTTGCGAAGCGTGAGGATTCGGTCGATGCAGCCGCGGACTGGACGAACTCTGGCTTGTTTTTCTCGGGAAAACTTCTCTCAGTCGTTGAAAGCTTGCGAAGTAAAACAGACACGAAGATTTTGGGTGCGACGGAGATTAACGAGATTCCGTGCTAGTTGCAGCAGTCGTCTCGGGAGCCTTTCTTGTGAATCGGAACGATGACCGATTCTCCCCATGAGTTCGGAACTTTCTCTTTAGTCCAAGCTTTCGTGAGTAACGATAGGATTTCGTTGACACGTACACTGCGGCCATCTATGAATAGAGCCGGTGGTAAGCTGTCGGGACCCGGAGCTTTGTGTCGTTTCAAAGATTAGATGGCATCTCGGGTCTCTGCTTCAGTTGGGGGCCTGTGGAGACAGTCCATGCATCATCCATTGGGGCTGGATGTGCCGCAGGGGGCTGTGTTGGGTGGTTGAGTTGAAGAGCGAAATGCTCTGCCCAGCGACATAATCGCCTGTGAAGCTTGGTGATCTTCTTGCCGTCTGATTCGCAAATCGTCTGGCGTGCGAATTACAACCGGTCTCCCTGATGATGTGAAATAGACGGCGGAACTTGCCAGCTGATGCAGCGGCTTCCATCTCATCAGCTTGTTTTGACCACCAAGATTCACGATCAGGGCGAAGGCTTGCTTTCACCTGTTGCGTAAGAGCCCGGCGGTGTTGTACTCTGCGCCAGCAGGCACCGCCCGTTGGCTATCCAGCAGTTCAGAGGATCTTCCCTGGATCCAGCTTTTGGGAGTTTAGCGAGCGAGGCCACAGCTGGACAAACCGGCCGACAGCATGGCTTGTTGCAGAATTCACTCGTGTTGATCAACATCGAGAGTGTATATATATATATATATATATATATATATATATATATATTCACAGTCTGTTAACAGACATTGTGCCATCAGAACCATGGCAGAAGAAAAAGGTGAAGAAGATGGGGACACTAATGCGATTAAAAATATGGGAAACGAGTTATTTTGGTTTTACACACGCCATTTTGTATTTTTTGTTTTGTGAGTTTTTGTGTGTATCAAAGGGATGGTGAAATTGCGGAACAACCTTGCCGCCACTGATGTCTGTTGCGGGCCATGACGTCCAATCACGGGAACAGGTTCACCAGTGTAGGTGGGATTGATCGTTGTAGAGGAATCAGGTAAAAATGGGTGTGAATGGGACACGGGAAGAGTAGGTAAAATGGTGGCGTGTGCTTGTGCAGTTGGCATAGTAACATGAGTGGATAGCATGGTAACAGCAAGACAGCGGGTGAAAGGTTGTGTTGTAAGTCCATGGTTCGTCAGTGGGCGAGATACTACCCGATTGCCCAGGCCGAAGTAGAGGGTTGTTTTAGGGGGCCCCACCCCGAGCCTTTGATCAAGGATCTAACCTACAAGGCAGCAGGGCGATATGAGGGTATCGCAACCCGTTGGGAGCCGGTGACCAAACAAGTGGTTCATACGCCTTTAGGACCGCATAGAACCAGGGGCCCAACGCACCCTTGAATTACAATGCCACTCAGAGAGAGGCAAGGGGCAGTGACTTTATTTAGTGGCGAGTCACATCCGCCACGTCACAGTGTTGTTAAGCGGACATATGTGGCTTTTTATAGGGAGAACGCTTGCCAGGCGAAAACCCACCACGTCCTGGAACACTGCCGCCGAACCATTCGCCGGAACAGGATGATCCCGAACCACCCAGCTGGCACCACGAGGAGGTTGTTCGGCAAGCCAGCCATCGAGAGTGTGAGAGAGAACGAGATTTGCGCGAAGCCTTTGTTGATAATCCTTCGTCACCATTTGGTCCTCGAATTTGTAGGTGTTCAGCCAGGTGTGTTTTGACCTAGGCGAACCACTGCAACGCACGCAAACAGCTGAACATACCAGTGCATGATCGGTATCGATGCATGTTGACCAAAATAATCGGCAGTCGTATACGCTGCCTCGCCACCTGCGACTTATGGCTATGTGGTCAATCTGTGACCAGCGCTGGGTCGATAATGGGGGCGCCAAGTGGCGTCCAGGATGACGAAAGCTGGTGCTGGAGAGAAATAGCTGATGATCAGCACACAGACTGAGCAGTCTCTCTCCGTTGTCTAAGCGAAAATCACCATATCCATGCGGTCCCCCGAGGTGGCGCTCACATGGCAGCAGCCGACCGACATGCGCATTGAAGTCTCCTGCCAAGACAATGATGTCTGTTTTAGGAGCCCTTAGGAGCGGCTCATGAAGGTTCTGGTAGAACTGGTCTTTGACTGTGTCCGTGCTACACTCAGTGGGCGCGTAGGCAGAGATCACGAAGAGAGCACTCTTTTCGACTCGACGTCTGCTAAATTTACTAGTGCCATGGAGCCTCATCGCACAAAAGCGATTACTGATCGAAATCCAATCAATCAGAGCAGTCTCGACTCTAGCACTGGTGGCGATTCCAACACCAGCTTGCCCAGATGCGGCAGACTCGGTGTCACCAGAGAGCCGGAGATGGAAGCGGGTGCCTGAGTGAAGTGGTGACACCAGCTGGTAGACTGAGTTAGCGTCTTGGAGTCGCGTTTCATTTAGGTAACTGACATCGGTTCCAAGGGTCTCTAGCGTGCGTGCAAGTCCAGCTTGCTGACCGATCTGCAGTAATGTGCGTACGTTGAAGGCTGCAAGTTTGAACTGCGTTCTGGGGTGCAGGGGCGAAGATGGGAG